AAACCATTTCAGGTGACTACCTCTTGAAGCTCATGGAGAGAATGCCAAGAGTGTGCAAAGCAGTAATCAGAGCAAAGGGTGGCTATTTTGAAGAAACTAGAATATAAAACATGTTTTCAGTTATTTCACCTTTTTTTGTTAAGTACATAACTCCACATGTGTTCATTCATAGTTTTGATGCCTTCAGTGAGAATCTACAATGTAAATAGTCATGAAAATAAAGAAAATGCATTGAATGAGAAGGTGTGTCCAAACTTTTGGCCTGTACTGTACGTTTCCCTGCAGAATGAAATTCGTTCTTTTCTGTCACCAGTTAATGCCAAACAATATAAATCTGAAGTATAAAATAGATCAAAATTTATATGGTGCGCACTGTTGTCCTTGCTTACTCTAATATTAATCTGCCTGCTGCGGCTGGATCTGTGAGCATTTGGTCGTTAAGAAGACTGTTAAGAGTGGGTCAGCTCGATCTTACCACTCCTCCTTAGTGAAAGATCTTCTTAAGCTAAGAGGGTTCTGGGAAACACAGCCATTATCATGTCAACATACAGGGAAAATGTGTCTAGAGTTTATGACATTTACTGGGAGAGCTAGAGCCATTTGACTACAGCTGACGTTATTACTGCTGTAGCATGATGTTATTAGGCTAAATATTACATTTCTAACAGTGACTGAGCTGATTTATTGACACAGCATGCTTGTAGGCTGCTGTAACGTTAGGTTTACAGAGGAAATAACGGATGTGACTTAATCAGGTGAAAATATCATTAGTGAAACAGAAACAAGCGTTAGTTAGGGGACAAGAGTCACAAAGACTCATGTATGTTAAAAGTTACTTACAACCGGTGTATTTACTGTAGGCTATGTGTCCGGGGTCCTTCGCCTGTGGAACAAGTAACGTGACCACTAACTTGTCCCCAAACGAACGCATGTTTCTGTTAGGTCTATGTGTTTCACTAACATTCTTTATGTATTATGAAGAATGTCAGACTGGCCAATCAGTGGCAGTGTTGGGCCCAGAGTCACAAACAGCGCATTTCGACTGACACAGAACCGGCACGGTGCTGGTTGACGAACCTAATTAAGTAGGCTACTTATAATGGCATGAAAGACAATCTGACATTCTGTTTGTTGTTGGTTATTTGACCGTGAGATCGCTGCTTGTTCTCGCGATATTTCGGCCGTGCTTTGGAAAGCAGAGCTAGATGGTAAACAAACATGGCAGCACACCGGTAAGGTATGACAACACGTTTACATGTCGTTTTCTATACGTTCTCTGACATTTATCCTAACGATATGAGGCGGTCTTTGTGGAAAAAAAGCTTGTTTAGTGGACTAACTTTGCACTTGAAGGTTGCCCATTCACTTATGTTTTAACAGGTCTGACGCTACTATGCGCCCCAGCTGTATCTACGCTAACGGCTAACATGCTAACTATTATTTTTATGTCACTAGTCACTTGAAACAAATTTAGGACGATAGGAGACAGGTTGAAATAAACCGAAATTTCCCTTTAAAGTCCACAGTGTACTCAATTCAGTATTTACAACTTCCAAATCTAGGAAAAACACTTATATATTTCTTAGATATATCAAAGGCTTTTGATACGGTGAATCATGAAATTTTGTGATCAGAAATGTTATGTTATGGTTTTAAAAAAAAAACAGGTTTTACAATGGGTTGATAATTACTTAAACAACAGAGAGCAATTTGTTGTTTTTAATGGTAATCGTCACAGCTGGCTGTACTAAAATGTAGTGTTCCACAAGGATCCATTCTAGGACCCTTGTTGTTTTTGATATATGTTAATGGTCATGCAAATGCATCAAGTTTATTGTCACCTATACTATTTGCTGACGACACAAATCTCTTTGTCACTGACAAGAATTTTGATTCCCTTATTGCCAAAGCAAATGCTGGACTCATTCATTTTTCCCATTGGTTTAAGTTAAACAAGTTATCACTCAATGTCAAGAAATCTAACTTCATTATTTTCAGAAATAAGAACAAGAATTACAATGCAGACAGAGCCAAAATTTATATCAAAAACAATGCACTTGCACAAATTTCATCAGCGAAGTTCTTAGGTGTCAACATTGATGAGAAACTTTGCTTTAAGAATCATTGTGAATGTGTTTGTAAAAAGGTTTCAAAACCCTTGGGCATTATAAAAAGGGTTAAACAGCATTTGAAAAAGAGCACACTTCTAACTTTGTATTACAGTTTAATTTATCCTTACATCTCTTACTGTAACTCTTGCTTGGGCCAGCACTTACCTTTCTTATTTACAAGCAATCCATAGATTTCAGAAATCCTTTGTAAGAATTTCCTCCAACTCTTCTTATTTAGGTAAATAACGATACTTAAGTATAGTTATTTATAGGTTTAAGAAGGGAGGGTTGCTTATAAGCCCTTTGGGCTTTATGATCTTTCCTGCACATTTTAACTGTTTTTTTACGGCTCTTTCTTCCTGAATGTATGTTTGTAAGTGCAAACAACAATAAATAAATAAGTAAATAAACAATTAAAATAGTTTGGTTTATTAAAGAGAGCAAAGAGAACATGGTAGGAGAGGGGGACAATGTAAAATGTTAGGAATATTTTGTCTCAACCTTCCATAACACCAAATAATAAACTTACCATGGATCCAGAACTGCAGATGAATCCATCCGATCCAGACAATGATCTATGTGATTCTTCTCAGGCCATTTTATCCCTGCAGCAGTCCGACACATACCTCCATATATCCAACTCAGAAACAGTCCTCAGATTTCTGACTCCCTTTCAGAGGCACCAAGTTCCCCATCTTCTCAACGACCTCCTCAACATCCAACACTTCCTCATTAAACCTTCAAAATCACATTGTTGTGGTGTGGTCCTTGAAAAGGAATTTACTGACAAAACTATTAAAAAGAGACAAAAATGCTAAATGCTAAAAAAAAAAAAAAAAACAGTTAAAATGTGCAGCCTGACAGGAAGCTGCCACCTCTCCTCTCTACTGAACACTGAATGAATTGGACTCTCAGCCTCACCTGACTGGAACCTTCCACCTGCACAGGTGAGCTGAGGGGAAGTCAACAGATAAACAGCATCAACAATACCTTATGTGTAAGGTTTCTCAGTTACTGCTTAAATTAGAATTTACCTATGGACACACACACACACACACACACACACACGCCCAGGGGTGCACCAAATGTAACTGAACTTAATTTACTGCAGAGTAATTCCACCCCTCCTCCCACAGTTGAACGGCGCCCAGTCCTTCACTGCTGAGAGCCTCTAATGAGGCAAACCTGTTTTCACTGTCAGTGATTGAGCAGCACATCAACACCGACATCACAGACAGAGAAACGCACAGTCACTCTGTGCAACACAAGCACAAATACACACATTAAACAAGCATGTATTTAAGAGTTTGGATATCATATTCTTACTCCCAACTCATCAAACACCAACGCTTGGTCCCATGCGTCAAAATGGACTTTAAAAAATCATGGATGGAACTATCGGGATGTCACCCACTGGTTTGTGGACTCCTGCTTTGAAGCCGTGAGTTTGGCATTTTGGCTGTCACCATCTTGATTTTTTGAGGCCAGAGGCTGGCGCTGTGGAGGACCAAGGGGTGGATAGTGGCGAAGGACACTATCATCAGACAGCCTGTAGCCTTTAACTATGCACAACTGTGAGCCTTAATTTTACTATATAATGATGAAAACTCTGTCTGTGTGTGTGTTCCACGTTTTTCCCCTCACTGACTTCAATCCATGTGAAATTTGGCACAGTGGTAGAGGGTCATGGGAGGATGCCAATGAAGCAATATTACATCAATTGGCCAAAGGGGGGAGCTATAGCAACCCATTGAAATGTCAAACTTTGAATGGGCATATCTCATGCCCCGTATGTCGTAGAGACATGAAACTTTGCACAGAGATGCCTCTCCTCATGAGGAACACATTTGCCTCAAGAACCCATAAGTTACACATAATCTGTATAACGCTTATACAGATTTTCCGCCATTTTGAATTTTTTGCAAAAGTTGGAAAACTTACTAAAACTGAGCTTCTATAAGGCAATGAATATTGCGGAGGGCGAGGCTCATCACATAAAGATGTATAACATCTCAAGGGTTTCACCCATCACCACGCAACTTTGTAGGCATATGACCACACATAATCTGAGGGGACCCCTCCATTATTGAGCCCATCAAACAAAATGGGGCGCTAGAGAGCTCATTTCTTATCTAGGCCTAACCGCCATATGGATTTTTACTAAACTTGGTAGATATGTAGAACAGGACGCCTCAAGGTGACTGGAGAAATTTAACTCTAATTGGCAACTGGGTGGCGCTATAACAACAGAAAAATGCTTCAAAATGACTAAAATGCGACCGATCGCTGTGGCTCCCCCTGTGGACCAATGTTGGTGTTATTTTCTAATGTTTGGTATGACTAAGTCATGGTATGGTATGCTGTACATAATCAGGGAAACTGTCAGTGTGTCATTCTGTCAGTCAGTCATTCTGTCTGTCCCACATTTGTCTACTCACTGACGTGGTCAATCTATGTGAAACTGCACATAGGCATTGAGGACTGGCATAGGTAGAAGGTGACAAAGCTACCAATGGCTATGGACTAGTATATATATATATATATATATATTTAGCACTTTTTAAGGTTATTTTCCTTGTGAGTACTTTTTTTTTTACCTACCTACCTATTTTTTAACTATTTGTCAGGAAAAAAATTTTCCTGTAACTTTTTCTAATTTCTTGCAAATGTTTGGGTAATTTCTTGTAGAGCTGCTCGTTGCTTTTGTTGTGTATTCTGAAAAAAAATATTTCAGGCCAACCTGCTCTGATTTTAATGGTTTAAATCATTGAATTCTGTCTAATATTAAAATCTCCAGCTCCATTGGTCCAGTCCAAAAGGAGAGGTCAATAAAAGATGTCACGTCTTTAAGCAATAAACTGAGGAGCAGAATATGACAACCAAGAAATAACAATATTTTATTATGTTGATGAAAAACATAAATAAATGTACATTCAGCATTAATATCAGTTTTTATAAATGTTCTTAAATCACCAACCTGACATTAAGTCTGAGCATAAACTGAGACCTCCACCTTACAACATGTGATTTCTTCAGTAAAACGGCTCCTTCTCTGACAAAATAACAAACAGCAGAATCAACAGATGGAAACTAAATGAAAATACTTCTAAAGACAGAATCATATTTTCTTGATTACATCAAGCATGAACTTGTTCATTTATTTATAAAGTGTTTTCTGGTCTTCACAAGTCAGAATAACAAGAAATGAACAAGTTTATAATGAAACAGTATCTATGAAAAAAGGCTAAACAAGCAAAACGATATGTCACTAAGTGTTCAACAATCAAAGCATAAAGCAAGGTTTTTAACTCAATAACAAAGATAAAATAAAAATAAGTGAAACAAACAAAAAAAAATCAGCAGGAGGACAGGTGCAGCTTAACAGGTTAAAGTCAGCTGCTTTTACCTTTAAGAAATAAACATCATAAATATAATCATCCTCTTTATCTCTAACTGCTCTGTTCCACTGTCACACAGACCTTCAGTGGTAATATCTTCAGTTTATCCCAAGTCCTAAAGTATGGAAACATCCTCTCAGTGAAAGTGTGTGTGAAGGTGTGTATGTGTGTGTTAGTATCAGGATCAGAGAACGACAGCTTTCCTCTGTTCCAGTCCAGATTCACTCTGATCCTCTGGAGCTTCTTCTGCACTTTGAGATCAGTGGGTGGAGCTGGTAGTGAGCGTGCTGAGTATTTACCTTGAAGGAACCATATTACCCATAATCCAGACTTTATGCGTCCCTTCCTCTGGACAGACTCTGCTAACACACCCAGTAACCAGCCTGTACTGTCTCCAACCTCGACATCCCAGCTGTGAGTCCCTGAGTTAAAGCCCTCAGATCCCAGGACACAGCAGTAATTATCAAACCTCTCTGGATTATCAGGAAGGTGCTGTCTGTGTCCTGGTCTCACACTGGTCAGATCTTCAGACAGGATGAGGTCTGGATGAGCAGTGTTTGGGTCCAGAATCAGAGGAGTGTAGGAGACCATGTCCTTCATCTTGTTCCAGATGTTGAAGGTCAGGTTGCCCAGGTGTTTGGCCTCGTCTATCAGAGCTCCTGAGAGCAGCTGTGGATCATCCAGCAGGGGGCGCTGCTGGACTCTGTCCACTGCAGCCTTGTAGTTGAGCAGGAATGAGACGTCTTCAGCTCTCAGCTCGTCCTCTGTGGCTCTGACTGTGTCTGAAAGAGCTGCTATCTCTCTGCTCAGAGCCTCCATCTTCTCCTTCATCATCTGACTCTTCTGCTCCTCTTCCTCCCTCAGTGCAGCCATCCTGGCCTCCTCTTCCTC